TTAAATCGAGCTGCTCATTTAAAGGTGAAAAACTTTGAATATCTTGGACGTATTCGGAACATACGTTCAGTTATTAAAGAGCAAGTGCTGCAGTCAAAGCAAATGGGTCGCCGAGAGAATAAGTATGTCAACTTTGAGGGTCGCGTACCTTTCGATCTGCTTTTTGTGCTGTTGCGAGACTACAAGCTACGTTCGTATACGCTAAATGCTGTGAGCTATCACTTCTTACAAGAGCAAAAAGAAGATGTACATCACAGCATTATCACAGATTTACAAAATGGAGATGAGCAAACACGTCGGCGACTGGCTATGTATTGTCTAAAGGACGCCTACTTGCCTTTAAGACTGCTCGACAAACTAATGTCCATCGTAAACTTTATGGAAATGGCTAGGGTCACTGGAGTGCCTTTAGAATCATTACTCACACGTGGTCAGCAAATAAAAGTATTGAGTCAACTCTTACGCGCAGCGCGAACCAAAAACTTCATAATGCCTGCGTATCAATCAAAAGCGTCCGAGGAACAGTATGAGGGTGCGACAGTTATCGAACCAAAGCGAGGGTACTATGCAGATCCAATAGCAACGCTCGATTTTGCTTCACTATATCCTAGTATTATGATTGCACATAATCTCTGCTATACAACGTTGGTGCAGCCAGGCATGAAGGAGCGTTTAGGGCTTACCGATGAACAAGTTGAACGAACGCCAGCTAATAACACGTTTGTGCGTGCCGAAGTGCGTCGTGGGCTTCTCCCAGAGATTCTGGAATCGTTGCTGGCGGCGCGTAAGCGTGCCAAAAATGACTTAAAGGTAGAAAAAGATCCTTTTCGACGTAAAGTGCTCGATGGTCGGCAATTGGCGTTGAAAATATCTGCTAATTCTGTGTATGGCTTTACTGGGGCACAAGTTGGTAAACTGCCCTGTCTTGAAATATCAGGCAGTGTTACGGCTTATGGACGCACAATGATCGAGTTAACAAAAAATGAAGTAGAGCAGCATTATAAAATTGCCAACGGCTATGAAAATGATGCCGTTGTAATCTATGGCGACACTGATTCCGTGATGGTTAATTTTGGTGTCAAAGGTTTAGAACGCGCAATGGAGCTTGGTCGTGAAGCTGCAGATAAAGTAAGCGCAAAGTTTGTGCGGCCCATTAAGTTGGAATTCGAAAAGGTCTACTACCCATATTTGTTGATCAATAAAAAACGTTATGCGGGATTGTATTTTACGCGTCCAGAGACTTATGACAAAATGGACTGCAAAGGTAAGCCGCAGTTAATGATATACGTTTTTGACAAATCATATCACAATTCCTTCCATTACAGGCATTGAAACCGTGCGTCGTGATAACTCACCGCTCGTTGCGAATCTCATGAATACTTGCCTGCAAAAGCTACTCATCGAACGTGATCCTGATGGCGCTGTCGACTATGCGAAACGTGTAATAGCTGATTTGCTTTGCAATCGTGTGGACATTTCCCAGCTGGTGATTACTAAAGAGCTGGCAAAAACAGATTATACTGCCAAGCAAGCGCATGTGGAGCTAGCAAACAAAATGAAGAAACGTGATCCTGGCACTGCACCTAAGTTGGGTGACCGTGTGCCTTATGTCATTTGTGCGGCAGCAAAAAATACACCCGCCTACATGAAGGCTGAAGATCCATTGTATGTGCTGGAGAATTGTGTGCCTATCGATGCGAACTACTACCTAGAGAATCAGCTATCGAAACCATTGTTGCGCATATTCGAGCCACTGCTAGGCGATCGCGCCGAATCAATTTTACTGAGTAAGTTGAAAGTGTCACGCGACTTCAAATGCGCACTAACATTCCTTCTTCTTACAGAGGGTGAGCACACACGCACGCGTGCGGTGGTCACGTCAAAAGTTGGTGGTCTCGCCGGTTTCATGACAAAGAAATCCTCGTGTCTTGGTTGTCGTGCGCTTATGCCTGCTGGCTACGAAAAAGCGGCGCTATGTCCGCATTGTGAGCCACGCATGAGCGAACTTTACCAGCGCGAAATACTAGCAAAGCGCTCTCTTGAAGAGACGTTTTCTAGTTTATGGACCGAGTGCCAGCGTTGCCAAGGCTCCTTGCATGAGGAAGTGTTATGTTCGAATCGTGATTGTCCGATTTTCTATATGCGTCAAAAGATACGCATGGACCTGGATACGCAGGAGAAACGTGTGCAGCGTTTCGGGCCCCCGGATTGGTGAACTGTTTATTTTTGTATTGTGCATGTTTAGCGTTTAACTGCTGCTAGAGAATGATATTATTTTGCTTTTTTACTAAATGGATATCTGATATTCAGCTTGCTTGGGAAGAATAAATTTAATCGTTAAAAAATTTTCAAAAATCGTAGGGATATTCTATTGTAGGCGGAACCGTTGATGGAAGGAGATGCAGACAGAACCATGATAAAAATTACTGGTTTAAACATGGCAAGTTCGCAGAAACATTAGAAATCTACTTTAGTCTTTTCGATATAGAACCTGGTAAATATTTATCAATATGTACATACATATACTAGCAGCAATCCTGAAATGCGGAATTTGTACGCTGTTACAACAACAACTATAACTTAGGAACGACTCGCAAAGTCAATAAGTTTATCTATGTGAAAAGCGTTGCTAAGAAAACTGATAAGATTTAATGTACCGTAGTAATTATACAATCGCACATGAAGCTAGGGCCGATGTGATTTGTAAAAAATTACGTCAGCCACCTTTCCTCTGTAGTACATGTTGAAGTTTGAGATTTTTTTTGTAGAATATTAAAAATTTTAATTTTTCATCTTTTCTTTATTAATGCTATTAATTAAATTTTTGACTTTTTATTTAAAAATATGCCGCGCCAATCGTTTACTAAAAACTAAGATACCTGCAATGCGCGTTGGTAGTAGAAAGCGCGGCGCTACCCTAATTCACAAGGAGATTAATAAGATTACATTTTTACTGTTTTTTTTTTAAGAACAAAACTACAAAGTGTAACATATTAGCAATCTATGGGGGGATAAATTAAATGAAATGGTTCAACCAAGGAAATTTTTTATACAATGTCCTTCAATGACAATGTCATGCTTGATAATTTTGCCTTTCTATATTCTGCAACGCTTAAATGCTCTGCAACAAAAAGCTTTTGCTGATCGAAAATCAATTTTTTACTTTTACATGGGAGCGCCATGTGTTTTATGTTATCAATATGTTCTTATTAATGTACATTTGCAATTGCCTTTTGCGGTGTCTACAAACAAATTGCTTGATTTCATCCATATCATTTTTATATGAATGTATATATAAAATGCATATAATTACTTAAAATTATGAACAAATAAAAATATTTAAAGAGCTTTGTTTTTTTTTGGGAATATTAGGTATGGGTGAGGAAATTCTTTTTAATTTCTAGTGCACTATTTACGACTTTGCAACGTATTGGATAGCCAATCCATCGCCTGATCTAAGCCTTCACCTTTGGTCGCTGATGTTTTAAATATTTGGAAAGTACGATTTTTCAAATTTTCCAAACCGAGCGCATGATGCACCTCCGCAACTGTCATACAGCCCTCCATATCCTGTTTGTTGGCAAGCACAACGAGTATTGCGCCGGCAAGTTCCTCCTCCTATCGATGAATACAATGACACATTAACAAACTGCTAAACATCGTCATATTTATAAATCACTCACCCGCAGCATGTAGAGCAGCTCATCTTTAGAAATACCTATCCGATCTCGATCTGCCGAGTCCACTACATAAATGATAGCATCTGTGTTGCTATAGTAACAACGCCAATACGGTCTGCAAGCAAATAATTTACATAGTAATAAGTAACTCCATATAAATCTTGCAACCTATTCATTCCTACAAACCTTATACTCGTCTGGCCACCTAAATCCCATACTTGAAATTTCAAATTTTTATATGTAACTTGCTCTACATTGAAACCGATTGTCGGTATTGTTGTGACCACCTCACCGACTTGCAGTCGATAGAGTATAGTCGTTTTCCCAGCGCCATCTAAACCCAATATCAGTATGCGCATCTCGCGTGAGCCGAGCAGACCACGAAAATAACTAAAAACACCACCTGAGAAGCAAAATAAATAGGAACTTTAAGAATTGTAAGTAATGTGACATGAAGTGTTTTACTGCATCTGCTAACGACTGACACGACACACAACGCCGGGCAGAGTCATATTTGGCACACACAGTTCCTTGTGCACATTAGCCCGTCTGCCAGTGGTGTCACACATCGAACTCACCCATTTTGTATTTGTTTTTTAACACAATACGCTGGCAACTGTGATGGCTTCTGTAGTACGTTAACTTTATTTGCGGATTTTTTCTATACTAAATAATGCACATACATTTGATTAAATTAATATAAATACATATGTGAAAATAATCCGTATTTTCACTTTTTTTTACACAGACGATGTGAACGGTTCGAGGTATGTCAAAAATTGTGTAGCGGTTATGACGTGTCTGCGAAAAGTGCTGCACAGTGTTGCATTTGCAAGCGAAACGGTTCTAAGCTAATTCATTTGAGAGGGGTAGGAGACAAATCAGAGTAAAAAAAAACAATTTTTTAAAAACTATTAGTGGGTATAAGATTCCATTTTGGCCAGTTATAAAATAAAAATGCAAACTCGTTTCAAAAACATTAACAGCGAAAATAAGTAAAATTACTAATATAAAAAATATATACTTGAGAAAAATGGTTTATATAAAAAATTAATTGATTTAATTAGCTACTTATTGTTATCTAAAATTTAACAACTTAAATTGATTTAAAAAATAGTTCTTTTCCTGCTCATAGCCAAATTTTTTTATTTTATGTAGTTTGACACACCTTCCAACCATGTAAAGATAAATGCCGCTGTTTTTTTTTATATTTATTTATTGCAATCACTTATTAACTGCATTAAAATTATTTTAAACTTCAATTATTTTTTAAGATTAACGATTATTGAAATGATTACACTTTTCGGCAATCGTTATGTGCCTTAAAATATGGTATTTATATTCCCCTTACTAAACTTATAAATATTTTGGATAGCTTTTTACAGTTCTTGTTTTATAATTTCTGACATTCTCTATGTTATTTTTTTCGAAAAATTATATTGTAATTTGCAAAACAATACTAAAAATTTGGGTTATATAGGCTTACGAGAGTCTGTTCGGATTTAGTGGTTGTATTAATTTTTTTATTATTTTAGTGCTGTAATTATTTGTGATAGTTTATGTTTTTCTGTAATTCCGTTTTTATAAATATATATTCTTAAAGCACACATATAAACATACATATGTAGGTTAGTATTTTAAAAAATTTAAACATAAAAAATTTCTACAAAGTGTTTTCCCTTTCCTTTTATATACTAATTATTTTAACTGTATTTATCTTTTTTTTCAAATTAGAAAAGTACTGAAGTCAGTATATGTAACTGGTAAAAAATGCTTCTTAGTAAAAAATACTTTAATGTGCTAGAAAATATCAGTCGGAAATCTTATTAACACTTTTATTTGATATTCAATTCCCATATCAGAAGCTGATTAAGTGGATGCTATAGAAAATGTGTGTTTTTGTATTTATTTTTATTAAATATTTTTATTAAGTCTAAGCTAAGAACGAAAGCTTATAAATTATGAAAATTATATGTTATAAAATAAGCAATTATAAAATAATCAAAATTTTAAGATATAGATAATAAATGAAGATAACACTTCTTTTTTTGCTGCTTTTCCCTAATTTTTTAGTGTAAAATAAAAAGCGGTGTAAGAAATTGGGTGACCTAACCTAAAAAGTATTATACAAAAACAGGATAGTAATAAAAAGAGCAAATAAAATTCCTGAGTGCGACACATCCAACCCAAATTCGAAAACGAAAATCATGCCTCTCCAAAAATTTTATATACAAAAAAAATTGATAATTTAAAAATATTTCGAGCATCAAAGTAGGCAAACTAGAAAACAAATTCAACTGCAAACATCAAATATATGAATATATTTTGAAACTTTATTTCTTATTTCGTAAATATCTAATAGTTTACTTATAAGCAGTTTAAAATAAATTTATATGTAGTTTAAATGGTAATGTGAGCATAATTGCAAGCATGTTTTTGGATGACTAGAGTGTTTAGTGCAAACTGTTTTAACTTTTTTGTATTTGTTTTTAAACATTCATTTTCATTTAAGTATATTTTGTTACTTTAACACTTGTTTGATTGCATAAAAATTGATGCTTTGAAATGTAGTTTTCCTTGTGTAATACTTGCAATATTTTAACAAATACATATTTACGGCATGTATTAAATATTTTTGTTTTTAAATACATTTTGTTCAATGAATAAATTGAAGCATTTTTTGTTTTAATTTTGGTACTATATTATATTATTAAGATTTATTTCTGTTTTAACAGCATAAAAGATGTCCAGTAAATTTGTAGGAAATTTCAATGCTTATCAATGTGAATGTAGCTTTTTGTGTATTTCATATGTATGTATACTTAAATAAGAAAAACACAAATTTAAGTTTTTTTTTTGCCATTTTTATGGCATTAATATTTGGTGTTCTGTTACCACTTCTTCCTTTTTTAATTTCAATGCTTTTATGTTGCTTTTTCGTTTGTC